AAAGTATTAACCAATGCAACTTCAGGCCCAAAAGTAATTGTTTTTAACCACTTGATGTATTTATATCCTTCCAGACTAACCCTGTGCAACAGAACTTTCTGCATGATGGAAAGGTTCCGTTCCAGCAATCTAACGTGGTAGCTGCAAGCCACCAGTGGCTACCGAGCACATGAACTGTGGTAAATGCACGTGAAGAACCAAATTTTAAATTTTATTTAGTTCTAATTAACTTAAACTCAAACAGCCACAGTGTGGTGAGCGACCACCACTCAGTGCAGTTCTGGACATTGGCTACACTGGTTCTGACATGTTCATGCAAATGGGGTCATTTGGTACATCTCTGTAACTTGACCTTTTCACTTAGTGTATGGAGGGCATTTTCCACACTAGTGTGGTAAACTTATCTCATTCTTTCAAGCGTTTCACAGTGTTCTTTGCATGCGTTGTATAATGGTGAGGATAGAGGGGAAGTAACACACTGAAGCATAGAGGCCTTTAGGGGCCCGCTGTAAAGTCCAGGCACAGGCAATGCAGGCTTGACCCAGAGGAAATCACACCAAGTCTTTAGCATAAGCTTGTTTTAACACCAATTAATTTATCCTCCTTAGAAAGTAAGAGCGTGTGTCTGAGGGAATAGCAGGTAGGAGAGATATACTTGATTTGGAAGGACAAGGCCTTGATGTGTGTGTGGGAAGGTGGTGCAACACATGCTGCAGAAGGACCTGATCCTTGGGAGTAAGTGATGGGGACCCACTGGGGAGGCTCAAAGCATTAAAAGATGATTTCCTTGTGTGGGTGTGGGTGGGGAGTGCCTGGTGGTCCCAGCTTGACTTTGGGGGTGAGGGTTAATACTGGCCGAGGAGGGTGCACATGGGTATGTGTGTGTGCATGTGCATAGAATAGAAGATAGGGAATAATAGAAGGAGTGCAAGTTAGTTGTGTGAAAAACATCCTTTTGGTTCAAATCCACCAATGTCTGAAAAGTTAGAAATGCCCACTCAGCACTGCCGTAGGTGCTGTAGGGGAAACAAATGGAGAACAAACCCTTGCAGATCAGCTGTGGGGAGTCTTTAGATTTACAATTTAGAATTCTAGAAACAAGTAAGGCTGGCCATTGTTTCTTAACAAAAGCAGTACATCAAGATAATTTTGTCTCATGTTTTTCTTCCCAGCAAGAACAGGTTTTTGGGAGCCAGCTCAACTCAGCTCAAAGTCAGTGAGGCCTTAGGATCTAATGAAAAAGGTCTTGGCTTTAAAATTAGGGCATCTAGATTCTAGCCCTTCTTAGCTGTGTGGCATTGGACAAAACATGTTATCTTTCCTTCCCATAACTGCAAAATGAAGACTGTAGACTGTCTAAATGCCCCTTTTAGCTCTCAGCTGAAACATAAAGTTGTCTTATGTCAGCTTGACTTCAACTGCTTTCTGTCTGCTCTGGGGACTGTTCCTGGATGCTTCCAGGGCTGCCCTCTGCTTGCCATAGGACTTGAACACAGATGTGTTAACTCACCTATATTAAGAGATGTCTGTCTGTCTGTCTGTGTATGGTGTGTATTTATGTCTCATCATCATCTGTCCTCTCCCCATGGAGGCTGTGTGTTCAGAACTCTCTGCACACGTACCCATGGCGCTCCACACACTACATGAGGTACATAACGTAACCCCACTTTGCAGAGAAGAGGTTAAGTCATTTGTTACCCAGTCTGCCAGTGGCAAAGTCGGGATTTGAATATGTTAGCCTAGCGGCGAAGCCCAGGTTCTCAGCCAGTGCACTGTGGCTTTGGCATCACTAGAGTCCGCTGCATAACCTTCAGAGGCAGGCAGCCTTCTGGAGACAACACCACAGAAGCCTTACCAGCAGAATCTCTGGAGCAAAGTCTGCAAGAAAGCAACTAAGTACAGGTTTTTTCCCCAGGTTCAAGGCATGATTTTTGTATTCCTGAGACGAGGATATGTATGTGCTTTGGGGAAGAGGGTAGCGAGTTATGGTCGGATGAAGGGCACTGTTCCCTTCAGAGCACAAGGGTGCGACCAACAGAATGTATTTGAGGAACGAATGTGGGTCGGGATCCCAGCACACCACTAGCTAGGTTAGTGTGGGAGCATCAATCTGTTTTTCTCAATCCTGTTATCTCACCTTTTCTCTATTATCCAAACCAAGCGTGGTACCCCGCCCCTTCCCCTTGGGCTCTCATCATGATTTCTGTCTGAGTCACCCCGCCCCCTCCTCCTCCCCACCTAACTCTTAGATGGAGGAAATGAGATAAAGGTAGGCGGCTGTGCTATGATCTCGATTTTCTTGTATAAGCAAAACCAGCATTAGAGTGCTGAGGTAAGGGCTTTTCCAAGGTTACGTGTGGAGGACACTGACCTACTTGAGGATGCGATCTGCCGTCAGCTTGGCAGTGTGGGGCTCATGGCCTCAAATCCTGCCCTCGTGGTGGGAGGCCAGCCCAGGGAGGGATCTGTCCTGGTCTCGGGCAGGGCCTCTGACTCTAGTGTGCATGAGCAAATAAAGTGTGGCCGACGGGAGCACAGTGCCCTGAGATGTTGAATCACAGGACAATTTGGAGGAATGTCCAGGAGATACGACTACCTCCAGGCACTTAAACTGCAAGGGAATAATGAGGCCTTAAGGGTTTCAGTCCACCCTCGGCAACTTTCCATCCTGGTTAGCTTGTCTTTAAGCAGCCTCACCAATTGCACCCTTTCCCAAAGGTAGTCAGAATCCGCACTGAACTCTCAGGAAGGAGTGTTCCCTCTGCCGTCTTCTGAGGGCCTGTGGGCCTCCCCAGTGGAGCACACCCTGGGAGTTGGGTTTTTGGTTCATTCACCAACCATCATTAACCGTCACTTAGCCTCTGTGCCTGCTTCCCCGTTGCTAAGTCACAGAGAAGCAAGTCCCCTACTTCTCTCAGAGATTTATCGTAAGGATTACCTTATTGTTTAATTTATTTATCTCATTAAGGATAAAAAGGAATTATAGAAAGGTTTCAATCCTTGGGTGAAAACATATATCATAATGTCCTTTTATTAGTCAGTAATTATAACTTCTTGAATAAGACCCAGAGGCTCCTGAATCCTGCTGCTAGTGAGCATCGTGGAGCCTCCCGCTCAGACCCCCTCAGCACCGTGGACACACCTCACTGCTGGGCTAGTCACACTGAGTTGAAATCATCTGTGTAATATCTCCCATGTTAGATACATTTGGCTTATGTTTCTTTTCATGCCATAGCCTATACAGGGCATCAAGACACGCGGAATTAGACCAAACTGAGCAAAGTCCCAGGACGTGTGTATTTAGTGTTGTTGCGAAGGTGCTCCGTGCAGAAAGCCAAAGCTCTGCGAGCAAGTCTGTTTCTGCGGAGGGAGGCCGCCCTGCTCACCTCAGAGCCTCCGCTCAGGTCTAGTGTCAGACACCTACCTCTTCTTCTCAACAGGAATATCACCACTTCGAGAATCAAGACGATGCCAACAATGGCCCCTAAGAATAGCCCGGTGTACAGTCCCCATTGTTTGGAGCCTGAAAAAAAAGAGTCAAAGGCCAATCTCTCAAAGTGCTATGAGTTCAGAACATCCTTCACAGAGGTGGGGAGACCGAGCCTCAGGCCCTCTTCTGACATTCTTTCTTGAGGAGACGTTTGTTCCAATGGCTTTAGACCATTGAAGATTTCCGTATCATATGTTTTCTTTCCCCAATTTCTCTCACTACACTTGACTTTCATATTCCTAATTTCCAGAAAGATTTTTCTATCCAAATGTTTTATTTTCATCTCAACAACCACATATCTAAAATTAAACTTATCTTTGTCTTTCTAAGTCGAACTCCCAGCCCAGTTTCTCTATTTTTAAATCTCTAATGTGCCTTGTATCCATTCTGGTAAAATGAACATGACGGCTCGGCAAGCTGTCTCCATACTCCCATACCATTCTCATGAGACACCAAGAGGAACAAACATCTACTTTTGTTTCTTAAAAATAAACCTAAGTGCTATTATTGTCCTTCCATGCAAATAACTACATTGAAACCAGACCTGAACTGAAAGAAGAGCACGTATTTTTTTCTCTCAATGATAACCATGTTAATATTAGGCCAAGTACCAGGCCCCAAATCAGACAGCCAAATTTTATTGCCCTCTCTCCTTTGCCCATTTTACCAAATCCTTCCAAACCAGGAACAGCACCTTGGAAAACAGTGAATCACTATCACCCCAGTAAACAGGACATTTAGCTCAGTGAGATAATGACAGACAATTGTAAAACATTTACAATGGGCCAGGCATTTTTTCAGCACATCATGTATACTAATGTATTAGATCCTCACAACAGGCCTATGAGGTAGGGACCCTCATTACCCCCATTTTGTGGATAAGGAAGCAGGTGCGGAGATCCCCAAGAACTAGAGCTTGGCCTAGGGGTGGAAACATGGCTGAATGCTAAAGACAGACTTCTTGGACTTGGAGAGGCTATGGACTTGGGGTGGGTCACACCAGGGTGAGGAACAGTGGGGGTCTGCCTGAGGCACTGGGGCTCTAAGTAATAGCATTAAGGTTCTAATAGGATAATAGCAGCTGAAAACACTAATGTAAAGGCAACTTATGAGGATGACTGTGGAATCAGCCAGTTTGTGGTTGAACCTGTGATGGATTTTTTTGGAAGAAGTTGCGAAGAAGGCACAGGTCTGTCACAAAGGGGCAGAGTGCTTAGAGGCACAAGTTGACCAAAGATACAGATTGAAGGCTCAGTGAATTGATAAAAGGCATCCCACCAAGGTCCAAGTGGGCCTTTAGCCTGATAGCTGACCAAGAGTTGCTTCCTGGGTTTGAAAGGATTCTCTCTTCTTCTTCCTTAGACCTTTCACACATCGTTATCCCACGGGATCTCACTGGAATGACTTCGTGAACATCTTGATTATAGAATCTCTTCCCAAAATTCAATGTGCTTTAACCCAACGTCAGATCCCAACTTCAGTCTGCAGTCAGGTGACCTGAGCAAACAGCTGGGGGGCAAGCAGAGAGTTGTAAGAAGACTCCTGAATTTATAAAAAGCATGAAATTCGAGCCCAGAGCCACTGCAGAGGACGGAGATGCCCTATGAGCAGCTCCCTCTGAATGGTATGGTCACTGTGAACTCTACATTCGGGTGTGTGTGTGAGAGAGAAAGAGAGTGAAAGAGAAATAGATTATTCAGAGCTGATGTTGCGGATAGAAAGCTTCCAAATCCGAACATAAGCAGAGCCGGCAGCCTAGACGCCACCTCATTTCATCAGCCCCTGGACCTGACCCGGAGAACTGTTCTAGCAGTGCTCACTAGTTTGAGTCTATTTCTTCTTCCTTCTTCCCTCATGTATTTTGGGACCTTCTAAAACAAGAGTTAATATAACAAACACTTCCAACCATCTAAATCATTTTAAGATGAATTAAATACAATAAATTCATCAATAAAAATAAATAAATTAAAATCAACAAACAAGATGGTGCCTCTAAAACTAGAAAACAGCAGATGATTTAAAACTGCATTTGCAGTGCCTGCCAAGTGAGCCTTTCCCTGCCCCCTGCGCCCCATGCTCGTTGCTCACAGCTCTGCTGTACCCCTACACACATAAACTAAAAACGAGTGGGGCCCAGAGCACATAATAACGCCAGCCCTCTCTTTCTTTTCCAGGGTCTCAGGAAGATGAAAGCTTGTCCTATGACGTGAATGACCAGCTTCTGCTGGTCCAGCCAGATCTGCCAGGCAACGGGGCTACAGTCCTGAAGGATGTTTCATAAGCCCTCATTTTTCTCCTGGCCTTTGGATGCAGAGGAGTACGAATCTATCAGAGGATTCAGGTTACAGCACCACAGACCACGGCCCCTGACGGGCACTGAGCATCCCACCCAGCTCAATGGGTTATCCCACCCAGCTCACTGACTTCCTGTTGAGGGAACTGACTCACACAAGTGCACCTGAGTCACAGAGAATGTGAAGCTGAGCTGGGCCAGATGAGGGCTGCAGACTTCATGGTTTGTGGCTTAGCCTGTGGAAGTGGGGCCCCCGCAAGGAAAGCGGCGGTGGGTCAGGATGCCTTGGGCGACCCTGGGAGTCAAAAGCCCACTGAGGTGCCAACTTGAGCCTTCGCCATCCTCCATGCCATGCCTGCTCATTCTTGCCCCCATGCACCACCCCCTACCTTTCCTCTGCTGCACCTTTAGCTGCCCAGCAGGCCAGTCGTCCATCCTCTGACCACTCTTCCTGACCACTCCCGCTCTCACTCTTCCCTCGCCCTCAAGCTCTCCTGGTCTACGCCACACATCTTAGAACCTGAGTTCTGACATCACCTCTGCTGTGGAGACCATTTTCAGAGAGGGCACTTGGAGCCAGACAGATGGGTTCACATTCTGGGTCTACCACTTGATAGCTCTCTGACCTCTGACCTCAGTCAGGCTGCTCATACCCTTTGGGGCCTCAGTTTCCTTATCCGCAACATGAGCACGACAATATCTGGTTCAGAGTTGTCCTGAAGGACCGGCAAAGTGACCTATGCGAGTGCCAGGAGCGCAGCCTGGAATCTCGCACGTGGTGAGTCATGTCCACTCCTCCCACTGGCCTCTGTTCCCCAGCTGGCTGCGCGCCTCTCTTTCTGCTCCTTTGCAGCTCTCTCAACAATCGTGGCACCCCACAGATTCTCGGTAAATTCTTGTTCGTTGATTGGTAAGATGAGGAGAGAGGTTTGGTGTCAAGTCCAGGGGAGTCCCTTCAGCCCCATCCTGTTTACTTATGACTTAGTTTCCCGATCTGCCCAGCAGGCCCAAGTATTTTTATGTTTGGGGTTCAGCTATTTGGTACCATGATCTAAGTATGGTATTTATATGGAAACTAAATGTCAGGGACTCAATGCCCTCAGGAATTTGGATAAATATGGACAAAATGCTACCTTTATAGCTTGTTGGGATCAGGTTGCCTGTGATTTCTGGGAATAACTTTCCATGGTCCTCTAGGTCTTTGCTACAGCAGCTCTACTTGCTCTAGTCCGGGCTGTCCTGGGTGCAAGGTTCAGTCCCTTCACCAGTTTCCACAAAGACAAAAAGAAAAAATAACCCTATGCCAAGAATTTTGTGGGTATGAGTCCTCTACTGAAGATTTGAAGGGTCACGGGATGCAGAATCCATCGTGAACCAGAGAGCTTTCCGTCATCTCACAGCTCGGCCCCTCTCTTTCTCTCCCTATACCTGCACAAGGTACATCTTCTCCATTTCTCAGACAGAGCCATCCAACCCCCAGCCGGCTTCTCTGCGGGGGCGGGATGTCTCGCCCTCTGCCCACAGCATTTATTAAGGTGCTCTTCTAAACAAGTACTGTTCCCTTCCACAGAATTCCAGTAGGGGTTTCTTACTATGATATTATTTTCCCACCTAGTTAGGCATGGAAGTCCCACCTAGACTGTAAATATCTCGGAGGTAGACCCTGTACCTTATGCTTTATTTGCATCCTTCATTACACCTGATACAATATAGGGCAGGGGGACACGCCATACGTGCAAGATGAGCTAAGTTAGATTAAATTAGCAGCCACAGAGCGAAGCTGCGAGAAAGCAGTCACCCATCCATTTGTATGAATTATCGATTGCTAAATATAAGAAGGTCTCAGAGCAACGCAGAGGCACCTTCTGAGTGGCCCAAGGTAGGAGTCAAAGAGAATCAACAACGACCTACTTGGCATATGCTTTATAATAGCAAAATGGAACCAAGAAAAAAGTGTTATGTCCGTGCTCTCTGCATCACCTGCGTTCCCATTCTCAAACCACCATTTCCTGTGGCAGAAAGTCCTGCTCTAACCTCTTCCTCAGTCATGTGGTGGGGCCCCTCAGGATGGCGATGCTCGAAAATCAGACCGTTTACCAGGCCCATTCTTCCTGCACAAAGAAACCCTATCTAAACATTCCTAAACAGGAGGGTTTTTTTCCCCCTGCTGCCTCTTAGAAGTAGCTGAAGAGGCTGGTTGAGATCTCTAGTGCATTATCTTCTTCTTTCGGGGAGATAAAGAAGGAAACAAGAAAGAATCTGAGAAGCTCATGTAGTTCACCCCAGGAGATACTGAGATGCTAATGTAACGGTCTGAGTGCACCAGGTCTCTTTCCTGCCTTTCATGTGGTTCTGTCAGCAAGGCTGCCTGCACGGGGCACATCTACTTGAAGAAGTCAACTACCACGAGATACCTTCTTGTTGATAGTGGTTTCCACTCAGAATTGGGGGCGGGGGAAAGATGCAGGCAAACTATATATGGTTGACCCTGAAGAACACGGGTTTGAACAGCATAGGTCCACTTATACGTGGATTTTTTTTCAATAAATTTATTGGAAAAATTTTTGGAGACTTGCGACAACTTGGAAAAACAGTTTCTTTCCTCTAGCTTACTTTCTCGTCAGAATACATCATATAAGATATACACAAAATATGTGTTAATAGCTTATGTTATCGGTAAGGCTTCCGGTGAACAGTAGGCTTTTAGTAGTTAAGTTTTGGGGAAATCAAAAGTTATATGCCGATTTTCAACTGACTGGGAGTTGGCAATGCCCCAACCCCTTGTTCAAGGGTTAACAGTTCTAATATAAGATCTGGGACCATTCAAGTAGAAATTTTTAGAGTTCACAGCTTCCAAAAAAATCCCATGCACCTGCTTATCCCACCCAGGATGGTGTTGCAGAGGCTACTAATAGGGCCCCTAGTGCCGGCTGCCTCCATTCCCCCAAGGCAACGCAAGTCTGGTCCAGTCACAGAGCTGCCCAGCTAGGACTACCTTTCTCAGCTCCCCCTGTAGCAGGTGTGGCCATGACAAGCCCTGACCCATGAGAAGTGCCCAGGGTCCATCCTTTCTCTACTGGCACACTTCCTGGACTGGGAGCACCATGGAGAGGGACCTACCTCTGTGCATGGAATATTTAGGTGACTCTGTAACTATGGGAGTCACTGTCTGAAGTCACAGGGAGTCACCCTGTCTGAAGAAATGGGTTTATTAGAAAGGGGAAGCCCCTGGGCTTACTGGCAAGTGTCAGCTTTTCCTTGCACTGATCTAACCCAGGCTTGCTGAGACAGCTTTTTGCTAATCTACTGAAAAAGGTCTTCTTTTCAAGATGAGCTCCCAGGGACCTTCCCTTTTAGTTGAATTATTTGAAGTTTCATATTATTCCTTCTAGCATGGACATAACTATTTCAGAACATGGTCATGAAGGATGACAGCAGGTCACATGCTGTCCAGTATTGACCTGCATCACCATGCTTTGCATGACCTCATGAGAGTACTTGGTAGCACTCCAGGATTTGGACTTTGCCCTAAAGATGCTTCATAACAATAGACATTAAAGTGTTTCTTACTATAAAACACTGTAATAGCAATTGGAATTAGGATGATTATATGACTGAGGCTGGACAGATGTCATTAGAAAAAAAGGTTTCAAGGAACAAATATGTCCTTGTGCAGTTTAAGTGAGTCCTGACAAGAGACAGTGTTGACATCATACACTTTGGCCTCATCACATCATTAACCACTTGGAGTTTCCATTAACAGAGGTGCAAAATATCTTCAAATTGCTGTCCTCTTTGTAGATGGTGAAGGGACCTCTAATACACCCTCAGACCTCACCACTTCATCCCAAGGCTGGGATTTCCCTTGTATGAAGTCTTTGCTAAACTGTTACTACTTCGGTCCCGGCCTCATCATCTCTGGATGGATTACTGCAGCAATGGCCCCTCCCCAGAGCTGGTTTCTCTTTCTTCTACCTTTTCCCCACCTCGTTTATTCTCCACTCTGCTGAACTTTCTCTGGATATGCATAGCTGATCGTGTTACTCCTTTGTCTAAATCGCTACTAGTTCCCATCACTTATGGGATAGTACAGAACAAGATAATACTGTATCTGCTTTCCCCCTGCCTGGAATATCTTTCTTTTATCTGCTTGGGTAATTTCTATTTATTCCTCAAAACCCGAATTAGGTCACATGCTCTGTGATGCTCTCCCTGACTCCAGGAGACAGGGTCAATCATTCTCTCCTCTTTGTCATCTTGCACATACTTCGGTTTTGCATCGCTCATACCACACAGTCTACGATAGTTAAATATTTATAGAACTCTCTCCTTCCTGAAGGGCAAGGACCATTTCCTTTTTTTGTCTTGGGTACTCAGCCCCTAGCACAAGGTTGGAACATAGTAGAACCTCAACCAATGTTTTGCTGAACTAAGCACAATATTTTAAGAATTCATAATATTCATTTGCAAGCACAAATCAATAAACGAATAAAACTATGTTTTCCATATTTAGGCAACCTGGCATCCTGGGACAGTCATGCTGCAAACAAGCTGTGTGACCTAGTTCTGATGCCCTATGGTTTCCCATTCCTGTGGCTTAGGGAGGGGCTCTCTACTGGTGTTATGGGTTGAATTGTGTTTCCCCCAAAATTCATATGTTGAAGTCCTTAGAATGTGACCTTATTTGGAGACAGAGTCTTTGCAGAGGTAATCATGTTAACATAAGGTCATTTTAGGATGGTGTAATGGGCTGAATTGTGTCCCCTGCCAAATTCGTATGTTGAAGCCCTAAACCCCAGTACCTCAGAATGTGACTGTATTTGATAACAGGGTCTTAAAAGAGGTGATTAAGTTAAAAGGAAGCCATTAGGGTGGGCCCAAATCTAATCTTATTGGTGTCCTTATAGGAAGAGGAAATCTGGACACACAGAGCCACCAGGGACACGTGCACAGAGGATAGGCCATGTGAAGACACGCTGAGAAGGCCTGGATTCCAGCCTCCAAAATTGTGAGAAAATTACTTTCTGTTATTGTAGCCACCTACTCCGTGGTATTCTGTTACGTAGCCCTAGCAAACTAATGACTGGTCATGACTGGTGTTCTTATAAGGAGGGGAGATTTGGGCAGAGATACACATAGAGGGATGACAATGCGAAGAAGCTCTGGGAGAAGACGGCCAACTACATGCCAGGGACAGGGGCCTGGGACAGATGCCTCCCTCCCAGCCCTCAGGATGACCAACCCTGTCCACCCCTTGATTCGGACTTCCAGACTCCAGAACTGTGAGACATTTTGGATGTTTAAGCCCCCAGTTTGTGGCATTTTGTTACAACAGCCTAGCAAATGAATACACCCTGGTAACCCTTTATTAACATTTCTTATTAATGTACACACAAACTGAATCACAGAATATCGACTCTAGAAAGAACTTCACTGGCTCACCCTTTGAATTTTACAATGATGAAACAGGCCCATGCCAGGTGGTTCCCCCAGTGACTGAGCTGAGATCCTGGCAGGGCTGTCCCGTGGTGCCATGTTTATGCTGCTCCTTGTCCCTCCACCTTTCATGAGAACCTGCTCCAGACATGGTAAACCTGCTCACATTTGCACATACTTGATCCTCAAAGTGTATTAGATGGGTAAGAGCATCCCCACATGTTTCTTTAGAATGTCCTGAGCCAAGTACCCCTAGCATAAGCTTTGTGGCCTACCAAGACTTTGGAATGTACTGATGGAGTTCTTGTTAAACCATATTGAGAAGCATCGGGAGATTTCTCCCTCTCTTTTGAGACAGGAGAGTGAAAAACATTACTCTGATTTGCTATCCCTGGAGAGGGCTATGTGGGGGTAAGGGGTACTGCTTCTTAGCCCCAAGAAAAAAAAAACCCACATATTTATTTTGGCTTATAAGGCATTTTAAGTGCATTATCTCTGCCACTAGTACTTATGAGGATTCCAGGTTCAGACAGGTCAGCTCTGCCACTTGCTCTGTGTGTGACCTTTCCTTCTTCATTTCCTTATCTGTACAGTGGAGATACTCTACTATTAGGTTGCTGTATTAAATGAGGTGCCACAGAACAGGCACATAGTGAGCAACAAAGATCTACGGGTTGTTATTATTTTAGATAAAGAATCTGGGTCTTAGACAGGCTAAATGACTTATCTTTGTAAGTAAAAAGGGGAGCAATGGATCTAGGACCCCTAGGGCCACATGCTGTAAACTCTGAACTATGCAGCACTGTTTTCTTGGTCCCACCAGCATGTTCTGAATAACTGTGAGCAAGGAGAGAGGTCTGGACTGGGCGACAGCATCTGAATGTGGTTTGTGTGTAAGGTGGGCAAGCAGTCAGACACATCTAGCAGGTGGACGGGTGGTTCACTGCTATGAATGGATGGCTGGGGGAGGCAACAGGTGGTGGGTTAGGTCCCCCAAGGAATTCTCAGATGCAGGCTGGAGGCCAGGTGGGATTTTCCCAGCAGTGCATCTGGGAATACCTCGGGGGAGTCTCTTACTACAAGTGCTATGCTGAAGGGCATAACCTGGCTGGATTTCCCTGTCTTACCCATCCCTGGTTGTCTGTAAAAGCCCTCCACACAGACATCAGGTCTAGTGGAGGAAGAAGTCTCCTTGGAATGACCCTACTTCCCCCCAGTGGACACAGAGAGGAGACTGTCAGGGCGTAAGTAACGCCTTGCAGAGCTAGCACCCTGATGCTACCTGAGGACAGACACAGGATCTGTGAGCAAATAGCGCCGGTGGTCTCTCCTGTTTGCAACCTCATGTCATTAGATGGGCTTACTTAATCAGCCCTCCCTTCCTTTTGATAACAGAATAATAATGTTTTTCTTTCTAGAGAAAGACCTGTCAAAAGATATAGAGTTCCATCCTGACCCTACTTATAAGTTGAAGACATTTGAGGAGGGTCCTTAAATGCTATGAGCTTCAATTTCCTCGCCTGTAAAATGAGGATGATACTATCATTTACCCAATAAGGTTATTGTGAGGAGTAAAAGAGATTATACAGCTGAAAGTGCTTTGTCTATAACGGAGCGCTATACGATTTATCATTATTCCCACACTTCTAGTCTGGTTTTTAGTCCGAGAGAGGAGCCCCTGGTCCTCTGACCTGCTATGGGGTTCACAGGCCATTCCACAAATGTGTCCCCTCATTACATCTTGCTTTTCATTACTGAACTCAGTAATCTTGACAACACGTTGCTGGAGAGCAGACGTGACGTATCTATCGTATCTATTCCTAGTCTCCCACAGCGTGAGTGGCGGCTAAGTACTGACTGATTACGTAAAGCTGTCCCACCACCAGTGGGGCCCCGCTTTGGGGGTCAGGCCACCTGTTCTCCCTTCCCCCTGGACACAGCCTGGAGACATGGGCTGGGGGGTCCGGCTCCATCATTTCTCACTGGTTTCCTCAACTGGGACGTGAGCCTAATAACGCCACTCTGGTCATTATGAACAAAAGGCTCTCCCAGAATGCTCATGGGAGGGCTGTTTTATAAACTGTAGAGAAAATGTACAGTGTTGTTACGAAGATGAGGGCCGAGGCTGTGGAAGTGCAGGTGGGGACCGACCCATGTCATTATGGTGGCCCGCTAGCCACTCCCAGGGCACTCACCTGAGGGGTCTAGCCTGCAGCGGGACTGTGGGATGAAGGTCTGGGAGCGGTTGCTGACGGGGTTGCTCGCGGTACAGACATAGACACTGTTGGCATGCTGGGGGCCGAGGGTGAGGGCAAGGAGGTGGGAGCCGTCAGCTGGGCTCAGCGGGTGACTGTCCGCCTCCTCGCTCCAGCTGTAAGCTACGTGGTCCCCCTTCTCTGCCACGCAGGCCAGCGTCAGGCTGCAGTTCCCATTCTGCTGCGTCCAGTTCAACACCTTAATTTCTGGAGTGGAGACCTGCTCTGTCAGGAGGGGGAGGAAAGAAGCCATCACTGAAGTGAACCCCCTGGAATGCTGACTTGAACATCTTGTTCAAAGAAAATGCAGCCCAAGGGTATTTTCCCTCCCTGTGGGTCTGCGGTGTGACTCACTCCTGTTGGAGACCTGGTGCTTCCCTCCATCCCTCTCCCCCTGCACTGCTTCCCAGGACCATCCCAGGATAAAATAGAGAAGATGGTCTTTTGGTCCCATCCCGCCAATGCTGTTGGGGCTCCTCTTGCCCCCACCTGACCTAAACTGCTCTCCCATTTGTAGAGTTTGCTGTCAGCTGATCCCCCCACAGGCTTTAATTGTCGTTGGTTGAAGTATTACCTCCAAGACCAAAAGGCATGACTTTTATTGGTGGGATTTTATATATACAGTGTGTGTGTGTGTGTGTGTGTGCATGCACATGTGTGTGTAGGGCTAGTGCTTTAGTGCATCTAACCTATCTCACTCTAATGCCATGAAATAGGCAAGGTAAAGGGGGAAGTTTTATTTATTTAGCAACTACTATAGGACAGCCACAATTCTGGACTTTCACATTCATCATATTCTTTCATCTTCTCAATAACTTCCTCACCAATTATAACCCTACTTATAATTATTCCCATTTTATGGATGAGGAAACTGAGTCCCAGAGAGGTGGGGTGTCTGACATAATGTCACTCAGCTCCTAAGCAGCCAAGTTGAGATCTGAACCTAGGTCTGTCTGACTCCAAAATCCAATCTCTTTCCTTGACTTGAGAAGAATACCATGGCTGCACAGACCCTATTTTCCAAAGTAGGAATTTAATCACAAAATGTGACAGGATATGAGAAAGACGATGGTGATGTGCGGTCTCTGTGCTCACGGCAGCCTTGCCCCAGGGCCACTACTGGCAGGATCAGAATTCCCTGGTACCTGGTGCAGGGCTGTGGGAACTATACACACTCCCTGGAAGAAAAGGAGTGCTAGGGGCAGGGGATGCACAGGGAGGACATTGCTGTCTCTCCTGTGGTATGTGAGGATTTCAAAGAGATGATGGGTTCATGGGTGTAGCTCTGGATCCCATCTTCAGAAATAAGGAAGTCACTGTGAAGAAGTAAGAAGCCCACAAGGCTGTCAGGATTCCTGAGAATTGAAGGGAGCCTCTGGGGCCAAGAGACACAAATGCTGGGTGCATTCCAGAGAGACGGGCAAAGAGGTTCAAAGAAGAACTGGCCTCGGATTTTGACGGACCTAGGTTCTAGTTTCAGTTCTGCAGCCTAATGATTCTATAACCAGAGCCTTTGCTTAAATGAGCAAAAGGCGCCTCTTCTAGCGGCAGATGCCATTCTATGGCAGGACGCAGGGTGTGGTGAATGGTGTGGGGGCTGAGTTTCAGCTCTTCTTTTCCCAGGATCCCTAGAGTGGGGAGCCACCCACACAGAGGTGTGTAACCTGCCAACCACTCCCTTCTGGATATGTGTCCTCATCTATGAAAGAGAAGTTAAGCTTGATCAGTGGTATTCAAACTTTTTAAAAATCAGGAAAAAAAACCCTCCACCTTTTTTTCAAAACAAAACCTGATTTACAAGTTGAGAGTCCTGAGGTCCAGGCCCTCTATCCCCAGGCAGCTGGACTCCTTTCCTCTGGGAAATGGGTTGAGGGCAGCTAGTGCTAATCAGCATGCAATTTGAGCAAAAGATTTTGTGAACCCCTAAAACTTCTTCCTGAAGCACAGTCTAGATAGCCCTGGACTAGAAGATCTTTCAAGTTCCTCCCAATTCTAAATACTCTTTGCTTCTGAGGGAGGCCTAAAATCCTAGGCGAGGGGCCGGCGTGGGCGGGGGAAGCCACCGTCATTACCATAGAGCTTCAGCTGCACGCACAGGCTCTGGACTGAAACGTTTTCCTCCAGGGTGATGAAGTACCAGGCCTCGTCCTTCCTCTTGCTCTCCACGATCTCCAGGCTCGGCTTTTCCAGATGAAACTTACAGCCATCCTCCAGATAGGGTGGTGAGGCCCCTTCCGGCAAATAGATAGACGCGATTTTCTTCTTGACGCTGTTTCCTGGTGATTCTGCCCTTGTGACAAGGACGTGGATGCTCTTA